GCTAAAAATCAAAATGTCCTTGGGCCTCTTAGCAACATACTCTGTTCCAAAGGCCAAAAATGTCAAAAGTATTTTGGAGCTCTTATCTAATCCTTAAAAGATTTTTGGCTTACCTCTTCAGAGGGGGGAATTTTGGAGGGGAGGGAGTGGACATGGATTTGATCAAAGCACCTTGTATGCATGTATGAAATTCTCAATAAAGTTTTTGTAAAAACTTAAAAAAAATATTCCATGCATATTTTTCTTGGTAACTGAGTATCTGATAAGTATCAAGCAATGCAGGTTAAGAAAGGTTGAAGAGAACTGGGATTTGGGGCATAAATTGAAGTTTCAGTGGTCTTAGCATTGCACTTCTGTATGAGTTAACAGTAAATAAATGCAGGATACACTTGAACGCTTTTAGAATGCACACAGACAATTAGGGTGTAGAACGTCATTAACTGCTTATGCTGATGGAAGAGCAAAAATGTTCTGGCAGTCAGTGTCTATCAAAATTAGAATCCATTAGAATTAAGGTCATTTCTCTATTCCTACATAATGACTCATGAGAAAAACATAGACTTTCTCTGTATGTTTTATTTTTAGTTTATATAATGGCTTCTATGTTAGTGAGAGCTTTATGCATACTATATTTTATTAATCATTGCATTATTCATTGTTAGTTTTACATTGCTGTGACCAAATTATACTTAAAGGGAGAATTCATTTTAGCTTACCATTCAGAATTTTAGGACATATTCCTTGGGTTCTTTAATTCTGGACCCTAGGTGAGGCAGAACATCATGACGGCAGGAGAGTGTGGCAGAGGCTGCTAATCTCATTGTAATTAGGAAGCAAGCAGAGTGCAGCAGTATCAGGAGGGAGCTGGAGCAAGGTATAGCCTCCCAGGGAGCACCCAAAGGGACCTACTTCCTTCAGCCAGTTCCTCACTTTCAACAGATACCATCTCAATCATCTATTAAGTCTTTTACTTTATCAATGGTTTAGGACAGAGCTCTTATGATCTTAGTCGTCTGTGGAAATAACCTCGTGGATAACATCGGCTTTATGGATCTCCTAGGCATTTCTTGATCCAATCAAACTGACACTCAAGATGAACTGTCACATAATCCTTAGTACTTATTTTGAATTGTCAGGCACTGTACATATTTTGTTGACCAATGGATGACTTAGGCGCTTGGAGTTCAATATTTAAAATTATAAATCATTCATATGAAGTTAAAAGCCATCAGTGAGCTGATTCCATCTCCTTTCCACTGAATGCTCATCTTTTCATAGTAGACACAAAAATCATAACATTGAGGACACTGAGTTTCAAATGTAGGAGGAGACATTGCTAGTTTTCTTGAAGGATCCACTTCACTCTTCCCCATTGACAGATGTATTAGTTTATATAGTGGCGTACAAATACCTAGAGTAGTAACTGCATTTTCCAGACATCCTTTGAATAAAAGTGACCAAGTGACTAAGCTCAACAAATTGCAAGTACAAATGTTGCATGTAGATTTTAGGATGTATCTTTCCCTTTTCTTCCTTTCTGCTGGCTAGAGTGTATACACATTCACTGACCCTGAGCAGCCCTAATTAGCGCTAGAAAGAGGAGGCACATGTTGAGACAGGAGAGAAAGGCTTGCTTTGCCTTCAGTGTCTGTAGATTTACTGTATCCACTTTGGAGTTCTTTGCTCCAAGTTATATTTTTATGCAAAAGACAAATTGTCATTCTAAAGCACACCTTAACTTCAGATATTTTAAACTTGTAGCTAAACTTCACAGGAGTAATTTCGGGGTATCTTCTTCAGCAATTCTTGCCAAATATTTGTAAGTGACCTAGAACACTCTCCTGTGCTCCATGTTCTCTGTATGTGCCTTTCTGAGAACATCTACTTGACTTTGCTGTAACGATCTTTTTTGTATAAAATATTCTTTAAAGTCATGATCAGTGTTTTATTTAAGTGTCATTCCTCTTCATTCCAAGGCTAACCATCTAATATTATAAATGCACCTATTATATTTCTAATACATATTTATTATTTGAATAATAGAAGATGAATGACTTGAACTACTAAAATTGGTAAGAATATTATGGAATTAATTTTCCTCTGAGAAAATTTTACTTCACAATTATAAGACACCATATGGTAGACACTCAAAAAATTGTGTGTAGATACTTGTCATGTTAATATACCTAGCTTTCCCCACTCTTTGACCTCAGGCTGCTTAATACTAACTCTTCTTCACACAGATATTGCAGCAATGACTGAATTCTTATTAATCTTAGATGAGTAATATGGTTGCAACCCAGGGCAAGATCTTTTGTTTGTTTGTTGATGTTGTTTTTGTTTGTTTTATTTATTTCTGATTTCTTTATTTATCTGCTCTGGATTAATCAAGATCTGTCTTCTGATTTTCTTTGTCATTCATAAAACTGACTTAGGGAGAACATGTTTGATGCCTTTAAAACCACTTTTTGTTCTTTCTCTGTATTTGCCTCTTCAGAAAAAGAATACATTGATAACTTTTCATTTGTTTTTTTAAACTTTTTTTAAATTTTATAACCACATGGCTTTAACATATTCAATAACAATTTCCAGAGTAAGGATAGATCCCTTTTGAAAGTGACTGTAAAATTTTAAGTTCACAGTTGAATTAATACAGTTATACAATACTGAACTCAACATAGACCCCGTAAAACATAAAATTGAATGAGTTTTTAACCTTTAAGAAAGATCTCCATTTCATTTTAAAATATGCTGTTTCCTACAGAAAGACTCTTTTTTAAGACTCATTTTTAATGCTACTAACACTTAGATGTTTGCACATGTGTCTCTAACAGTCGGTTACACTCGGATCTTTGGCACCTGAGTAGGGATATAAAGTCATCAGGTAGATTTCAATGGTAATGTTTTAAAGAAAGCATTCAGCTCATCACGTGGTTGGTTTAGTTTTATTGCTGATTTGTGACATCTTTTTTAAGAAAAGAGCTTATCCTTTAGTGTGTCTCTACCATCGCATGACTATCAGCTTGGCTGAAAGAAATCCATGACAAGTCAGAAGACCACATCTGAGGACATCACCATTTTCCTCTTCTTTATAGGTCCTCCCAGAACTCGAGCAAATAAGTGGTTTGTGCACCGTTTGGCAAGCAGAACAGAAACTGCCAGTGGTCTTGTCAAGTGGATTTACTAATTCCTTATTCTGAACTCAAGAGAAGACTCCTTCAGAAACTGCTGCAATGTCTGTCTCTAATCTGTCATGGTGAGTAAATTGTTTTCTAATCTTAAATGCAAATAAATGCATACAGTAAGCAATATTTTGTAAGAGTTCTACTATCAGAACTTGGACAGAGAACTTTACAAATCTGGTTTTCAGAGATTTTTTTTTTTTTTTTTAACTTCTCTGTTAGAGTACGGGGAGAAATCTAGGATTAAAAATTTGACACTTTCAGTTTGTGATATCTGAGAATTCTGGAGAGGGTTCAAGCCTCACAATGAATCTCAGTGGCATCTAATAACTCTCTTTCCCACATGCACTGGTGGGGTTAGGCGTAGGAAGCCTCTCTATTCATCACTGCTCATTCCTGTGGATATATACTCCCTGATGTAAGACTAACAAGCTGAAAGTGTAACTTTGAAGATAGAATAGATATTTTCTCATCAGCACCTCTTTCCTTTAGGCTTCATATTTCAAAAAATGTATCTCAATTAAACTATAGACTCAAACATGGCAGAGAAAACTCCATTATGAATGCTTATCTCCAAATAGGTCCATTCTAAATAATCTTTGATTTTCAGTTCATGTTTAATACTGCTTGTGACTAAATATAGTGGAAAGATAATTTGCTGGTAAATTATCAACTTTTCTATAGTGATAACGAACAGTACTATCCAGGGCCGAATTTTAAGTCTTTGAAATTTAGAATTGTTTTTTAATATTAAAGAGATGAATAAATGATGCTTAATATGAACTGACAGAATTATGAGCAAATCTTGTAATCTTTTTCATTTCCTTAAAAGCTAATTTCATTTTCTGATGGAAATATAAATAGCAATGTACTCAAGATTTGTTTTCCCCTTTGTTTTAGCGCCATGAATTCACTTTTATATAAGTAAGCAATTTCTTTAGGGGAAAGGGTATAATTATTTGTTTAAATTTAGAGTAGTGTTCCTGAAGACCTAATTCTTAATGCCCTACAAGGAATGTGTCCTTGGATCCTTAGCCATGGGTGCTGAGGACAACTTGGAAAACAACAACAACAAAAAGAAAGAAAAGGCTTAAAATATATCATATAAAATATATGAGATATTTAAATAGTAAATTGTCATTACACAATATAGTTTCCTTTTATATTATTATTGGTATAAAATTATCTTTATAGTTTCTTAAATTTCTACAAATCTTTTGAACTTTTCAGATTCTTGGACAGTACTACCCCATTTATTTAAGTGAATTACGCCCTGGCAAATGCGTATGAGAAATGAATTTTCAGAAAGGAAATTAACTCAGTCAGAGAAGTGCTTGCCATGCGAGCATGAGGATCTAAGTTCAGATTTCTAGTACCCCTTTTTAAAAATGAAAAAAGATGGACATGAAGGGGCATGTCTGCAATCTCAGTGCTGGAGGTACACTAGGAGGATCCCTGGGGTTTGCTAGCCATCCAGCTTAGATGAGTGAATGAGCTCCAGGTTCAGTGAGAGTTCCTGTCTCAAAAAATAAGGTGAAGAGAAATCAAAGAAGACACTGGACATCAACTTCTATCCTCCATAGGCACATGTATACACACGCATATGCACACATGGGAACACAAGATAAATAAATAAATAAATAAATAAATAAATAAATAAATAAATAAATAAATAATGCAAACAGAACACCAAAGAAAGAGATGGGTCAGGGAGAGGATCTGGGAAAGGAAGCAGAGGAGGAAAGGAAGAATAGGAGAAAAAGGGTAAGAAAACCTGGATGATGGAAGAGCAGGAGGATGAAGAAATTCAAGTAGGTGTGACCGTCAGATCTAAAGGCAGGGTGAGTGTGACCCAGTTCACAGAGTCAGCTCTGGGCTGAAATTGGGCCTGTCCTTGTGAGCTTCAGTTAACAGCTGCTGTGATGTGATGATTTCATTTATGGCCATTGAAAACACAATGAACTTTGCCGAGGAGTGTGTCCTTCCAGCCTGATGGTATCACAGCACCCACAATTTGGAAGTGTTCTGTAAACAGATGGAGTGGAAATAAGTGAATAATTCAGAACAGGTGATTTAATGAAACAATCCATAATCATTCTAAAAGAAAATTTAATATTGTGGACGTATCTTGTAGAATCTAAATGTCTGAAATATGGGAAAAAAATGTCCTTGTGTCTCAGGTTCAAAGGTTGTAGGAATGATGCTTGGCTGTTTTCATTCAGTGTATTTGTGTTAGGTTCCCATGTAGAGATCTCTTCATTTGTTTTTATCAATGTCATTACTATATGGCTGTGTCATCCTCCCTCTTGGCTGAGTGGCCTCTTTGCTAGTAATGAAGAACAGAATATAATTACAAGTTATTTAATCAAGCCACTGATGCATGTTACCTAGGTTATTATTACTGCCTCTCTTGACATAAACCTTTGTAATTCTTCCATATTTCCTAAAAATTACTAATTTATATTTTGAGAATATTGTCTTATAAATATTTCATTAGGGATATATGGCAGTGTATCAAATTTCTGTGGAATCTCTTCAGAAAATTACATGACTTTAATGAAATTATTGTAGTTCAAGATCTGGCTTTGTTTTAAAATCCAGAAGTGAAGATATGGACATATGGCCTCATACTGGAAAATAAGTAGGATCGGCAGATTATTATGTAATGTAAGGCATGGAACTTTGAGTGCTTGGACACTGTATTTGTTCTGACAAGGGGATTCTCTGACTATTGTGGAAAACTGCATGGGAAACTAAATCAGCAACATGCTGGCAATTATAATTGTAGCAATGAGCCTTCTGCACTTCCAATGAAGATTCAAAGCAATCAGGAGAGGAGGGCTCTCATCTAACAGGATCTTCCTACCACTGTGGGAGCTGCCCCTCAGGGCAGCTTCTTCATGCCTAGAAGTGAATAGCAATCTGATCCGTTCTTAGGGTTCTTTGGAGTCGTACGTCTGCCAAACTCCCCCCCTGTTTGTCCTTCTCGTTCATTTTAATGTTGAGTTTACAATCCAAATTCACTTCAGGGCTAGAAAGATGGCGCAGCAGGTAAAGGAGCCTGCTGCAAAGTCTAATGACCTGGGTTTGATCCCTGTAACGTAGGTGGATAGGAGAGAACCGCCTCTCCCCAGTTGTTCTCTGACCTGTATTTGCATGCTCTAGCACATGCAAGTGTGCATTAACATGCACATACACACATATGCACGCACGCACAATAAATGTAAGAAAAAAAATCTCACTTCATTTTATGGGTATTTTTGTTTGCCTGCAATAACTTTATATATTATTCAACCTTATTCATCTGTTGATTTTAACAATTAAACATTGAGTGTTGCTGTGTGTGTCTGTGTAGGTTGTCTCTCTGATTTCTACATGTAAACTAAGAATTTAAGAAACAAAAGTCAATATACTTACATTTATTTATACAAATATCCAACAATAACCTTAGTTTTAAATACACAGTATAAGAAGATTTCTTCTTCACTTATTAAAACAATTCTTACTCTAGTAGTTATATGTATGACACTTGTCTCAGATACACACACACACACACACACACACACACGTGTGTGTGGGTATATATATATATATACACACACACACACACACACATACACACACACACACGTGTGTGTGGGGGAGACAATGATTGAGCTGATGCTACTTGAGATAAAAAACCAAAGGATGTACAGGGTCACTTGCCGACATCGATATACAGGTGGCAGCCTGCAGGGTATGGTGTGGCAAGGAACTGTTTTCGGTAGACACTCTAATTAACAGGGGACATAAGATGACATAAAACGTGAAAAGGAATTTCATATCTCTAGCCCAAAGAAGGAAATGTTGTAATGCCAAGGTGTGCTTCAGAGAACTAACCAGACTTCTTTCCCAAAGCTCATCAATTCCCTACTATTCATAGTTTGTAACATTGCATATAATATCCACACCAAATTGAAATCTGATTTTTGTATCATGTAAAATAGATGAACATTTTTCAAAAGTGAACATTTGCATTGCTTTTGTTATGCACCAGGCACCTTTACTTCTTGAGACGCTTTCCAAATATTAACTCCCATGATTAACTCACTTTCTTAGCGATATAGCATGTTACTTGCATTTTCATAAGTTGGAACTGTGATGCACAGAGAACCAAGTAACTTTCCCAATATGGCAAAGCCACTAAGGAGTCAATTTGACAGAGGAGTGAAGATTAGCCAGGTCACTCCCAAACCTAATTCCTGGATAAAAACCATATCTTTGCTACGTTTGTGTAGCCTACCCATGCCTGAACAGAATGTTTCTATGAATTTTTCTGTATGCAAACTGAAACTTTTCTTTAAAGGAACATTATTGTTAAGCTTTGGAATAGCAATGTGAGTTGAGGAGACAGGTGACGAGCCCCCTAATTTCTTGGGGTAAGTAATGAGGTTAGTAATATCAGAAATTCGTTGACGTTTATGAATGAGCTCTCTACACCACAATGCATACACATTTATATATATATATATATATTTGGTTTTTTAATATTTTATTTATTATTTTTATTTTTATGTGTATGAGTGTGTTGCTTGCATGCATGTAAGTGCACCTGTATCATGCAGTTCCAACAGAGGTCAGAAGAAGGTTCTGTCATCAGATCCCCTGGAACTGGAGTTATAGATGGGTATTAGCCGCAATGGGTGCTTGAAATTGACCCAGATCTGCTACAAGAGCAGTCAGTGCTCTTAACCACTGAGCCATCTCTCCAGTCCCATGTTTGTTATTTTTTATGGTCTCATATAGCCAGTGCTGACCTAAAATTCCCTATGTAGCTGAGGGTTACCTTGAACTAGTGATACTCATGCTTTTATCTCCCAAATATGAGGCTTCCATACATGTACCACCAAACCAGCTTCATGTATGGACTTAGACATGTTAAAACCAGAGTTTCCTCATGATACAAAAGAAGCACAACATAAATGTATGAGAAGCTTGCTCTAATTCAGATAAAACAACCATTCAGTCCCCCACTTCCTAGAGACCCTCCACTAGTATTTCCAGTCCTTTCATGCCCACAGGCCCCCTGTACCTT